TTATTTTGAGTTAAAATGAAAAAATGAAATCTTTTGAGTTAAAAAGGTATGGCTTATTAAAAACTTACATGATTGAAATTCCCTTAAAATATAGCCTTATATGTATATATATGTATATATATATATTCATTCTTTAATACTAATACAATAATTTCTCTCTGAAATTGAAAAACATAAATAATGTATTCTAAAATACATTATTTAAAATATATATTTTAAAAACACATTCTAAATACAAATATATATTCCCAAATACAACCAAGATTTTCTACGAATAGAGATTTCATAAAACCTTGCAAAGGACCTAAAATTCGTTATTCACAAAAACTTGCAAAAGCAATGAAACTTCATAAAAGCTAGTAATCTTCGTACGGTAGATTAAAAGACAAGAAATGGTTGCCAACACAAAGATAAAAGGGCCAAAAAAAAAAAAAAATCATAAAAACTATTTTTCATTTCATTTTCACCAAATTAATATACATATCTTGTAAGGCTATAATCCATGAAGTCAAATGGAAAAATAAAGCAGAATGAAACGATTCTAATACCCATAGCTGAAATATAATCCAAAAAGAATCATTTCATTCCTTGATCCTACATCTCTATATTATTCATTATTTTTATTTTCTAGTTTCCGCCTCCTGCTGCCTCTGCTCATCTTCATGTTCGGCCGCCCCGGCCGTGGGTTGCAACAACAACGCCGTAAACGGCATGTGGCGATACCCATTTGCCGCTTCACCTGAATACTGAACGGTGATGGGCTGGCACAAGTCCAGCCGACAGCTCGGTGGAGGCGGCATCGAGAACATCGGCATGGCAGCTGTAGCAACGCTGCTCCCCACAGCATGTATCCGGCAGGGGACGGACGAAGTAGCGGAGCTCGTGGTTGGACCCGCAGTGGAGGACACTTCGTGAGTGGCTGGGACGGTGCCGGATCCAGTGGCGGCGATGATGGAAGGCTCGGCCTGGCGGAGTAACCACTCGATAGTCTCACCGTCGGAGCGGTGACCGAGTTCACGCGTCAGCTGGAAGATACGGGCAGCGCAGAGTGCCGGCATCCTGACACGGCGGCCACGGCCGTTTACCTTGGTGTGGCGGTCTTTGGAGAGAGAGGAAGAGGATTTCCGAGGAAGAGAGAGTTGGGTATTGGGGGAGGGGTTGGGGTTGTTTTGGTCGGAGGGAGAGAAGGTGTGGAGGGCCATATCGGAAGCCATGGCGGAGGAGT